AAAGTTACATGGCTACCTAGGACAAACAAACTAAGGTCCTCTCTGTGTCCTTCATATGCTGGTCTTTAGCCTTATCTCATTGCAATTCACCTACCATCCCCTCACCTCCTTTGTATCTTATTCAAACCACACTGCCACTTTAGCCCTGATTCAAATACCTGCTGTAGGTCCACTTTATATTCTAGATTTCCCTCTGAAACATCCTCTACACTATCGCTGCCAGTCACTGAGGCACCCCTCCTTCTGAGCACTAACCCAGAGCCCCTTCTTCCTCTGAGGAAAACAATGATTTATCCTGTGGAAAGCCTGCCTAGGCTTCACTGCTGTCCCTAGACTCTTACAGCAAGAAGTACTAATTCAATTGTAGCACTGGGCATGGTTGGCTTTGTCCATGTCAGAATCAAAGGAAAAGCATTTTTTTCAAGGCTTGATTCCTTCATTATTCCATTTGGAATGGAGGTATCTCACTTTAATTAACCCATCCTCATTCTAGCAAATTCTTTTCACTGTCTCTTCAGGAGCACACTTGTCTGTCAGTGCACCACATTAACAAGCTCTTCTCGATCACTTTCAATACTACATGCTTGATGTGGATACACTGGAAGTTGATTTTTCTGCATGCTCATTCTCCCCCATCCCTAGAAAGCAGGGTGCTCTTGGGCTTTAATAACGTGAAGTGTTCTCAGGCCATATCATCTGTCCACATACCTCATGGTTATGACAAGTGGTTCAGAAAAATGCCTTGAGAAATCTAGATGGAAACCAATGCCCCATGGAAACACATAAATATTTTATCAGGCTCTGAACAAGACTCTTGCTCATAAATGTTTAAACACCTTGGTAGCATAATGCTCAGGGGCTGATTAGAGTCAGCTTGTGCAGGCGTGGGGAAGCTGAGAGGGGAGGAGGGGAATATAACAGAATATGGCAAGAGGCATTCTACAGTGTCTCTTTTAAAGACCTGAAAAACACTTAGGGTATACCCAAGGGCTCCCATGATTTGCATGGGCACTCATTTTCCATGTGCCTTTCCTCTGATATGTGAGGTAGGTAAGGCCGCAGCAGAGATATCTAGGGAGGGAACCAGCTGGCAGGCATGCACACTGCCCATCACTTGAGCCCCCATCCCCCTGCCATACTTCTGTCCGCATGGGGGCACAAGGAGGATTTTCAAATAAAGTACTTAGGACTCAAAATGAGGCAGATTCTATAAACATATTCATGGCTGCTTTATTCAATTTAGCCCCAAGTTGGAAATAACCCAAGTATCCATCAATTTGAACATGAATAAACATACATGATATCCATACAATGAGTACCATCTTGAAGTAAAAGAAATGAACAACAGATCTAAACAGCAAAAAGAAGCCCATCACAAGAGCATATGCTATATGAGTGCACTTCATGAAGGAGTGCATTCAGGAGCCATGCCTCGAAGTAAGAGGACCAGAACTGCTTGTAGATGGTGGGAGTGGCTAGAAAGAGGCAGGTGCAGTTTAGAAACACAGTGAAGACAAAAGACATCAGTGATCCCCAGGATTGTTATTTACCTATAAAATATTGATTGCCTGAGTTACCTTAAAGGACTTCTAGTATTTACCAATGGTTTGCAAGTCTTATGGGAGACAATGCCTTTTTTGTGGCATTTAGTTACTAAATTAATTCAATAATATCTAGTAATTGCTTATCATATGCCAAATAGGAACATAACCATAAATAAAACATTTTTTTTGTCTTTATGGAGTTTACAGTGGAGGATCTGTTCAATTAATAAAGAAACAGAGATGCAGTGTCAGGTAGTAATAAGTGCCAGGAAGAAGGAAGATGCAAAATCATAACTAAGGCTGTTTTTAATCAGGTGGCCAAGGGAGTTCTCTGAGGAGATCTCATGGTATCTGAAGGAGGTGTGTTCAGGCGGATGAAGGGGCACACTAAGCAACAAGATGTGATGAGTGAGGCCACACAGGCCCCATCTCAAAGGGCTGTGGTCAGCTCAGGTGCAGACCTGGGTTTTATTTGAAGTGTGAGGGGAAGCTTTGAAGGATGTTACACAGGGGAGTGCTAAAATCCAACCCTGCAATGGGGAATTAGAGGCTAGCCTGAGCTCCATAGCAAGACCCTGTTGCAGTGAATGAATGAATGACTTCATTTTACCATTCTCTCTCTTGTCTTATTTCTTTTCCACATGCCCAATATGCTATCTTAAGGAAGGGAAGGGAGGGAGAGAGAGAGCTCAAATTTAAATATTTGTCCAAGATTGTTATGGAAGATTCAGAAGAATAAAATCCATATTTTTTTCTTAAAAAAAAAAAAGTTTTCTCATGCCTTTAATCCCCACAGAGGCAAGCATATCTCTGTGAGTTCAAGGCCAGCCTAGTCTATGGAGTGAGTTTCAGGCCAGCTGGGGCTACAGGGAGACCCTGTCTCAAAAGACCAAAAAAAAAAGAAAAAAGAAAAGAAAAAAGAAAAAAAAAGTTCTCTCATATATATTTCTTAACCAGTTTCTTGTTTAACCTCTGCCCAGGGCTGGATCACATATGTCTGGATTTTAAACTCTTATTTTTTTTTTTTTTTTTTGGTCTTTTTGAGACAGAGCCTCCCTGTAGCCCCAGCTGTCCTGGAACTCACTATGTAGACCAGGCTGGCCTTGAACTCACAGAGATCCCCTAGCCTCTGCCTTCTGAGTGCTGGGATTAAAGGCATATGCCACCACGCCCGGCCTTAAACTCTGATTTTTATGTTTTAAGATAATTAAAAGTTTATAAAAGATGGGTAGGTAACTTCTCTGCATATCTAAAATTTTTCATTAAGAAAGTGTTGAAGAAAAAAGATGAGAGATTTGCATCCTTTACCAGCATCCTTTAGAAAATTCATTAGCAATTAAATATCAATAGTTCTTACCCTTTGGAAAATTGGAAAATAAAGGCTCTATTTTCCTTTAAACTATCAAATCCAACTTTGTGCTTCACTATTTTTTGTGGCTTATACAAACCCTGGACATGCTTTCCTCTCTCCCCTGCCCTCAGTTACTCTTTGGAAACATTCAAGGGTTGGGATAAAACATGCCTTTGGGCCAGGGAAATGCTCAGTGATAAAGTGCTCGCTGTACAAGTGTGAGGACCTGAGTTTGGATTCCCAGAATACATATACTACAGATGTGGTAGTGCAAGTCCATAATCCTATCCCCAGTCCTTTCACACCTGGGATGGCAGAGACAGGAGACTCCTCAGAAGCAGGGGGTGGGGCTCGGGGGCACTAGTCTGTACACAGCTAATAAGAGATCCTGTCTCAAACAAGGTGGAAGGCAAGAACCCACACCTGAGGCTTTCCCCTTACTATGTGTGCTGGTACTCACACACAGATACATACACACACATCATACACAATTTTTTTTTAAGGTAAATTGGAGGAGAGGGAGCACTTCTCAGGGAAGGCCCCATTTTCCTCCAAGTCTACTTGGATTTGGAAATGCTTTCTGAGCAAACAGCAAATGGAAATGACTTGCAAAAAGGTCCCTTCTTTACAGATAATCTTGTTCCTTTAATCATGTTTCCCTCCAGCCTGAAAGTCGCTTCATGCCATTCACTCTCCTGGTCTCTCCTCCACCACGTTTCCATTTCTGCCTTCGCTAGTCACCCCCCCCCCCCCCCCCCCCCCCCCCCCCTTTCCCTTTCCTCCTTCCCCCATCCCCCCCCCCCCCCCGCCCTTCCCCGGGCTTACCATTACTCTGTCTCTGACTACGCCAGCTCTAGACTTTATTAGGGAACAGGGAAAAACTAAAAGCTGGAGGTAAGAGAATGAGAAACAAAGGCAACATCCCACAGACAGTGGTGGCCAGGGAATTAAACTTGCAAAATGGAGCCGAGGGAGCCGCCTCCACTCCTGAGAGAGCCCTAACTGCAGCAAAGCCTGCCAAAGCATTCTGCTTCCCACTCAAACTGCCTTAACCCGGGGGCGCATGCTCCCTTCCCCGTGTATCTGCATGCCCATTCACTTCACCTGCAGCAGTGAAAAAAAATCTACAAACTTGGAAGCCCGCTGGTACTCTGCTGCTAGGAGACCAGTTCAGTTTCTGCTGGGAGACTCCAGCCATCTGTTAGTGGAGAAAAGAGCTTTTCTGTGCAGGCCTTGCCGCCTAAAAAATGCATCAACAAATCTGTTTTTTAACTCCCACCTGAAAATCATTGCCTTTCACCAGGTATGCAAACGTTTATTCGTCATCCCCTGTATACAAGTTTAAAGAACTACATTGGGAAAGACGTCTTATTATAGGTCAGGACAGAATTTACCTCTAGAAAACCCACAAGGGAGAAAGAGTATCTACATCACGACCTACTCTATCTTCCCCTACAGATTATAGTCCTGACTGGACTTCAAAGAAAAACCTAGGAGTCTACACTGACGTAGCATGTGGACGCCTCTAGTTTCAGATAGAGCTCGTTTTGAAACTGGGCAGGATCCAAGGATGCTGGAGGGCCTGGGGCGCTCCGTATGCCCAGCAACAAAGCCATTGGATAGACCACAGTGCAGTAAAACTTTGTTCTCATACTTCACAGTCGGGGTGTGGGGACATCTGCTCAACACCCTGCCCATGGGGTGAGCGTACACCTGCAGGGTAGATCTGGGGACACACTTGGCGTCGAGAAGGCTCTGGGAAACAGTTCTGGGATCTCCTTTTTTTCAGCAGGTTTTGTCACTTATTGAACAAAACAGAAAAGCCACGGCCCTGTTGACATCCAATTATAGCACTCTCCCCTCTTTTTTTTTTTTTTTTTTTGCCCCAAATTACCACCCGCATCCCTGATGAGTGACCGCGTGTTCTCCCCAAATTTCTTAGTTACTTCGTCATTTCCGTATACAGTGCCCGGATTCTGAGAGGCATCGGCTGTCCTCTCCACTTCTTACTTTAGAACCAAGTGTTCTGCGTTTTGAGGACACGCTACATCCAGAGAAGCCGCACAAAATCCCAGGTTTGGGGTCCTCGGGGGCGCTATGCTCACCTCGCTGGCCCTGGAGAAGCGCGGGTCCCCAGGACTCTCGTGGGCTCCAGGGGCTGAAAGGCGGCGGGAGGGACCGGGACCGCGCCCGGGGCCTGGCGCCGCCGGAGAGGCTACAGAGCCGGGAGCGCAGCGTGCGTGGTGCCCGCGGGGCCGCCTCCTCCCGGGCCCGCCCGCCGGTCCCTCCCCCGGCGCCGCCTCCTCAGGGACCCGATCCTGCGCTCGGCCACCGGGCGACTCCGGACCCCCGCGCAGCGACCCCCAGCCGCTCTGACAGCCCGGCGCCGCCCTGGCCGCGGAGGATGCTCTGGGGGGGAGTCGGCCGGGCCTAGTGCCTCCCAAGCTGGCGGGTCTAAGGAGGCAAAGAGATTTCACTTGTTTTCCCATTAGTTTTCCGTTTCCCTTTGTCTTTTGCTTTCCTTTTTCTCCCTTCCCTTCCCGTTTCCTTTCCCTGTCCTCTTTTCCTCCTTTCTCTTCCCTTATCCCACCTTCCTCTCTTCTCTCTCTGCTTCCCTCCTTCCCATCCCTGAAGCTTCAGGTCCACCCCACGTAGCCCTTTCACCCCCCCACTCTTCCTCTGTCCTCTCCCTTTCCCCTTTCCCTCCCTCTCCCCTTTTCCTGTCCCCTCCCTTTTTTTTTCTTTATCCTCCCCTCTCTATTCCTCTCCTCCTCTTCCCTTTTTTCTTCTGTCGTTTTTTTTCTCTTTGTTTTCTGATTCTTTACATTGTGTTTATGTTTATTTCATAATCAGAAGAACATGAATGCTGATTTTTAATAGGAATGTGTTTAGGGCACACTTGAGGAAAAGCCAGAGGGGGGATCTGAGGGAGGGAGAAGGGAAGGGGAGCAGAAGCGAACTTACTCAGGCAGAGAGCCACATCCCAGCCCCTAAACAACCACATTTTTGTCAATGACTAGGGAAGAGAGGAGGGAGAACCCAGTAAGGCTTCAGGGTTTGGATCACACAGTAGGGTGGTTGGTTTTTGTTTTTACGTTTTTTTTCCTTTAAACACTCTTACCCAAAGGCTTCTTTACACAGAAAAATGCTTTATTTATTTATTTTAATTTTTTATTTATTATTTTTATTTTATGTGTATGTGTGTATTGCCTGCATGTATGTAAGCGCACCCAGGTTGTGCAATGCCTGAGGAGGACAGAAAGGCCGTGGGATCGCCTAGAACTGGCGTTAAAGACAGTTATTAGCTACCATGTGGGTGCTGGGATTCGTACCTGGGTCTTCTGCAAGAACAGTCAGTGTACTTAACTGCTGAGCTATCTCTCCAGCCCTGAAAAATGCTTTATTAAAGCATTTATTAAATATGAAGAAAGAAATGCAGTAAATGTTTTACTCAAGGCAATGAGCAAAATGTGGGTTTCCTGGAGTATGAAGGATGGCTGAGGTTTTCCCAGGAAGGCTCAAGCTGTCAATTCTGCAGCCAGGCCCTTTCCAAGAGAGGCTGAGGAGGTCAGGTTGATATGCACCTTAGGGAGTGCTTGGTGCGGGGGGGGGGGGGGGGGGGGGGGGATGGGGTTGTGTTGGCCGCGGGGGTGGGTTGGGGGGGGGGGGGGGGGGGGGCGCTGGGAGGATAGCTTGCATACAAGCATGAAGACCTAAGCTGGGGATCCTCAGCACCCACATTAAAAAGCCCGTGTTGTAATCCTAGAGCAGAAGAATCTCTGGGGCTTGCTGGCCAGAGTCCAGTGAAATCCCGGAGCTTCAAGTTCAGTGAGGGAGCCTGTCTCAAACACTAAAGTGGAGAGCATTTGACAAAGACAACTGCCATCAACTCTTGGGATACACACACACATACACACATATACACACACACACACACACATACACATACACAAACACACATACACAAACACCAGCAAAGGCTTCTGAATCCATCTTTCTCTGTCACTGCTTGCTTCAAAGTCCAGAACCAGATCTTGAGTCTGTGGTCCAGATAAAGGACTCCCCTTCTGATCTCTATTTTACCTCAGAATCTCTCTAACTTAACCAGGTACTCTCACTGCCCCTCCATATTGGACTCTTCTAGCTTGGTCCGACCCACTTCTTTCTGGTGTTCTCTTTCTCACATTAGGCTATCCCCAACCTCTCAGTTGCTGGCCACTGATTTTCGTCTCCCACCCAGACCTATCATATTTACCTCAGAAATGTTTCTGGAAACTCTGCCCTCCTCTGCATTCCCACACTGCTACTCTTGTTAAACTTTAATTACCTTGGGCTGAATCATTTTAATAGTTTCCTAACAGGTTTTCTTGCCTCCGGTCTCCCCACCATCAGCACAGACTTAAGAATGTCACTTTCATGAGGAAACAAGCAAGCACCCCCACCCCCCAACCCTGCAGCAACTCTCCTGTGTAATTTTAATACAGTCTGTACTTTCACAGCTGGAGAGCAGACTCCCTTTCCGACCTCTGTCCACTCAACACCTGTGGTTTAATTATATAGAGCTGAGTCAACCACAGTTCTTTGAATACACCCTGGGTTTTTAATGCTCCTGCTTATTTTGATCACACTGTTCCCTTACTCCCCCATCTTTACCTGTTGAATTGTTCCAAACTCTTCAATGTCTAATCAAACACTTTGTCCTTCACCAATATTCTGCCAGATTTTCCCACTCAGAACTGTGAGAGGAATGACTGCTTCTTTCTTTCTGTGTCGGTTACAGCCCTTACTAAGTTAGGCTGTATGTTACAACTAGCTCTGCCATCCTGTCTCCCTAGTAAGTGCCATGATGTGCAAGGCAAAGTATGGTTCTGTCTCAGCTTCATGTTCTAAGGCATTGGCTACACGTTTTCTTTTCTAAAACAATATCTTTTATTCATTATTTGGAAATTACATACATGTCTATGATGTGTCTAGATCACATGCACCCTCTTCCGCCCCCCTCCCCCATCTCCCAGCATTGTCTTCCATCTTCATGTCCTTTTTTGTTTAAATAACCTGAGTCCAGTTAGTACGGCCTGTATGTGCATGGGTATGGGGCCATCCCCTGAAGGATGAGCAACCTATCAGCAGCCATATCCCTAAAGAAAAATGACTCTTCCTTCCCCAGCAGCCATCAATTTCCATTAGCTCCTCAGCTAGAGATAGGGTCTCCTGAAACCCTCCCTCATCTATGACAGAATGTTGATTAGGACTCCATTTTGTGCAGATAACTACAGATTCTGTGAGTTCATGAGTCATATCTAGAAGACATTATTTCACAGCTCTCCTTCCTATCCTCTGACTTTTATACTCTGCCCCCTGAGCCTTAAGGGAAGGGTTGATAGAGATATCCCATTTGTGGTTGGGCAATTAACAGTCATTCATTCTCAGTACTTTGAACAACAGTTCTGAGTGTGCATTAACCACTGTCCACTGCAAAAGGAGTGTTCTTTGACCAAGGTTGAGGGAAGTGCTATAAACAGAAGTATTTAGAAAGCAAGTTGACAACATAGCCATTTAACAAAACAACAACAACAAAACAGTGGTAGTTTTCTGCCCTACAGCCTATGACCTCCCTAGCCATGGGCTTTTGACCAGGTTTATAGTACCAGGCCTGGGATTCTCTCCTCTGGAGCAGGCTTCAGATCCAATCACAAAGTGGTTTGTTACCCCCATAACAGTTACTCCACTATTGCATCAGTGGGCACATCTTGCCTGGCAGATTGGTATTGTAGCATGCAGGATCCACACAAGACTCTTGATGATTTTTGCCCCCCAGCAACTTGCACACATGTACTTAAATAAATGATCATTCTTTGATTGTACATAAATTATGTAACAAAACTGTATTATAAAAATTCAAATACATAAAAGGAACAAATACTCATATCCTAAAATAGACACTTAATATTTTTGTGATCATCTTTCATGTATCCTCTATGTACACGAATAAATGGAATCACTTTATACATGGAGTGTTTAGGTGCCTTCTGCTTTAGTCTATTCTTACATGACTCTTCCCATTCCTCTGCCCTTCACTTCCAACTGATTAAAAGATTCAGCAATGGGAGCTGGAGAGATGGTTCAGTGTTTAAGAACACTGGTTGTTCTTGCAGAAGACCCGGGTTTGAATCATAGCACCCCCATGGCAGCTAACAACTGTCTGTAACTCCAGTCCCGGGGGATCCAACAGCCTCTTCTGACCTCCACAGGCATTTCACAATACGGGTACACTTACCTACATGCAGGCAATACACACATACACATAAAATAAAAATAATAAAATTTAAAAAAGATTCAGCAATGTATAGTTCTCCTTAATTTTTCTCTCATCTAGCTATCTAATGTATACACATCTATGTTATTTTCTTATCTGTTCTTAAGAATGGAATATCATAGTATGTACACTCTGCTGACCACACTGGAACAAATGGATTCTTGGTCCCAGGAATTTGAATTTCGGATTTTAGGCTACTAATGCCTTGAAAGGAATCTCCTTAATTTCAGCCACTGAAATCCCCATCTGTCTCATTTAATTCTCATCTGTATTTAGTTATTTTCTAAGTAGATGCCTGGACATTGCAATTTACAACGGAATTTTTTTTTTTTTTTTTTTTTTTTTTTTTTTGAAAAAAAAATTAGCCCCAGCTGTCCTGATCTGCCTGCCTCTGCCTCCCGAGTGCTGGGATTAAAGGTGTGTGCCACCACGCCCGGCTTACGACTGAATTTTAAAAATCATCTAACCTTGTTTAATTTCAAAAAAATTGTTCCACTGTAGTTCCATTCTTTCTGACTTTTGTGCTATATTTCCATATAAATATTATTTGTACTGTTTTATATGAGCCCACTAATAGTTTTATAATTAGTTACTGCTTAATGCAATCATCTTTTAAGTCACTAGAAAATACCAAAATATCACCTTCCAGATTTGCCTCACTGTGCCGACTAATGCTCTGTTTCTTCATGTGGGTTGGAGTTACTGTCTGGTATTTTTTTTCATCATAAAAAACTCCTTTTAGAATTTGTTATGGGACAGATCTGCTAACAAAAACCTCAATGTTTGTTCTGCAATGACTGAGTCCTTCTCTTCCCTTCCCCTCCCCCTCCCTTCCTCTCTTCCTCCCTCCTCCTTCCCCCCTTTTCTTTTTCTCTCTTTTATTTTCTTTTTGAGGCAGGATCTCACTAGG